CCAGCATCCACATCGCAGCCCCACCTGTAACTACAGTCCAGGGGTTCTGGTAACCCTTCTGGCCTCCCTAGGCACAGCATGAACATGATGTCCACATATACATGCAAGACAAACACCTGTATACATAATAATAGAAATAAAATTTCAAAGGACCCCAAAAAGTTCTTATTCAGTGGAAAAATACATTTTCCCCCTATACTATTTAGCATTCAGGAAACACCACCCCAGGCCCAAAAGTAGAGTCCCTGCGTTTAGAGTGAACTATTGAAATAAACTCAGTTTCTGGGCCCAGGAGCCAAGCAAACCTAGGCTTTCAATTCTAATGAAATCCAGAAGCCTAATTCTATGAGAGCAAGTGAATTATGGGTCTCAAAGCTCCTAAGCCAGCCCAGGTGACGCAAAGCAAGCCATTCACCCAGGTGACGTCACAAAGCTCCCGAGCAGGCAAGGATCAGAACAGGCCCTGTGGGGCTGTTCACAGAAGCGGTCCTGCAACAACCACATAACAGTGCCACCTACAGGAGCAGACAGATCATGAGAGAGGCCTACCCCCTTGCAGACTAGAAGGTTTCAGTCTGATTTACAGAGAATGCTAAGAACACGAAGAAAAAACAGCTAGGCCTCTAGAAAAGCAGCCAAGACCTCTATTTTGTGACGGAGAGAGTTCTAAGTCAGCAGCGACCTTCTTTGATGCAGGAAAGAGTGGACAACGCAGGAAAAATCACTGTTTCCAAAGATGTTCTCTTCATTCATTCTTTCTCTGTCCCTGTGACGTCATTCTTGAGAGTCAATAACCTAAGCAGAGTTGGAATGGCACACCAGCACCCTAGTCTGGGTTGATGGCTCAAAATAACAATTGACTTTGGTTTCATTTTCCCCACACACTCAAAACCTGGTCCTAAGTTCTTATTCTCAGAGTTCTCTAAGTGCTGTTAACTGGGTGACTAGAATTTATACCTGGGCAGGGAAGGGGGGCCTGAAATCCCTCAGTGGAGATCTGTATTACTCATATACAGGAAGCCCTCAGCACCCCAGGAGAACAGTTGTTGACCTCCTTCCTATATATACCGATCCGTGGATGTTCAAGTCCCTTATAAAACGACAATGTTTGCACATAACCTATGCACATCCTCACATACACTTACATCTCTGGATTATGCAGAATATCTAAATCACGCAAATGCCACGTAATTGTGGTAATATTGTATCGTAATGTAAAATTTCAAGAAAAAAAAGTCCTCACATATCCAATACAGATGGCACTTTTTCCAAAATATTCTTCATTTTCAGACAGTAGAACCCACAGACAAGAAACCTTAGGATAGAAGGCTGACTGGACCTAACCCTGCACCAGAGCAGCGGGAAGGAGAAGGGTGCCCAGAGCTGACTGCTTCACTGACCCCCGGGGAAGGGAACAAGAAAGTAAAACCAAGCAGGACAACGGGAAGTCACGGGGCACTGCGCTGCTCTCAAGAGCCTTCCTCACAGTCCTGGGGCTCAAGCATCACAACAGAAGACAGGCAGGGAGATCTGTAACTATGGTTCCTTTTTAGTTATTTTAAAGCCAGTTTAGTCTATGCAGTTCCAGATAGTAAGAGCTACACTGTGAGATCTTGGCTCAAAAACAGAAAAGAAAAATAAATCTTACAGTCACCAGATACACTCACCAAATATAATAATATAAGCAGTCTTTCATACGACACACGATCACTGTGCAAGAGGGCCACACACAGCTGTGACTGGAGTAAATGCTAAAACACAGAAAGACATCCTCGCTATGAATATGCCTAACACGTGACAAAAGGGAACGTTTCTGGTGATCGGGAATTTGGTGTTTTGGAGAACCAGCCTTGAGCTATATGCATCATGACTCTGTGTTCCCAAATGGAGGGAAACCATCCAAAACAGCACAGAAAATTAGTCAAGGGCCAGAGAGATGACTCAGGAGTCCAGAGCACTAAGGCAAGAGCCCGCCTTCCAGCACTCAAGTCAGGCAACTCGTACCTGCCTGGAACTTCAGCTCCAGGATCTGACATGCCCTTCCAGGCCATGGGCTCAGGCACACCTGTGGCATGCATATTCTCTCTTCCTCTCTCTCTGTCTCTCTCTGTCTCTCTGTCTCTCTCTCTCTCTCTCTCTCTCGGGCGCGCATGCGCTCACGCACATGTACCTTTAAAAAAGAAAGCATTACTTAGCAATTGCTAAAGAATCCTTAGCTAAACTGATGCCAAATTCAGCAGAGATGAAGGGTACACCATCAGTATAACAGAAAACAAAAAATGTTGTATTTCTAACTATATTCTAAGAATGAATCATACAAAATGGAAACTCAGAAAACATCTCATTTATAATAAGGAATAAATTAAACCAAGAAGATACAACACTTAAACATTGAAAACACAATATTATGGCTGAAAGAAATTAAAGAATAAATACATGGAGATGCATTCCACACCCATGAACTGGGATGTTGATTACTGGGGTGTGTGTGAGTGTGTGTGTGTGTGTGTGTGTGTGTGTGTGTGTGTGTGTGCGTGTGTGTGTGTGTGTGTGTGTGTGTAAAAGAGAGAGAAAAAATACAATGTTGCCCAAAGTATCTATGAATTCAACACTCACCCCCACCCCTAGGACAGGGTTTCTCTGTGTAGTCTTGGCTGTCCTGGAACTCTCTCTACAGAGACCAGACTGGCCTCGAACTCACAGAGATCTCCCTGCCTCTACCTCCCAAGTGCTGGGATTAAAGGTGTGCGCCGCCACCACTGGCTGAATCAACAATCTTATAAAATCCTAACAGACTATTATGTGAAAATAGAAAAAGAAATGTCCTAAAACTCACATGGAAACGAAGGGAACCGAAACAGTCTAGAAAAGTAAGAAAGCTAGAGAATTCACACTCCTGTCTCAAAAAAACAGTGACATAAGGAAAAACACCAAAGCCAAGGGAGGAACAAAAGTACAGGCATAGACCCACACATCCACGTTCAATTGACTCTTCACGAGGGTACCAAGACCACTCAAGTAAAGAAAAAACTTGAGCAACTTAGGCTGGGGGAAACCAGATATCAAACATGCAAGAGAGAGGGCGGACCCTTCATGCTACACCCAAAAGACAACTGGAAACTGATCAATGAGTCAAATATAAGATCCTGAAAGAAAAACAAGGAGTAAATACTGGCAGCCTTGGATACACCCAGGATGTGTTAGATATGACAACAGCACAAAAGAAAAATACAAAGATTGGGATTTAAAAGTGAAAAGTGTCTGAGAGACAGCTCTGCAGTTAAGGGCATGTACTGCTCTTCTAGAATCCATGTTCAGTCAGCTCCCTGGGGCACATCCTGCCACTCCAGCTCCGAGAGATCGGATGCCCTCTTCTGGCCTCTCTGAGCCCTGAACTCACAGGCACAAACCCACACACAGATACACACACCTAGAAGTTAAAAAAAATGTTAAGTATAAACTTAAATTAAAAGGAAGCTGCCAAAAGAACCAGACAACCCACAGAAGAAACTATTTATAGAATGTGTATCTACTCAGTATCCAAAATATCTAAAGAATTCAGTAACAGCAACAAAAGACAACCTTTTTTTTTTTTTCAAGACAGGCTTTGGAGGCTGTCCTGGAACTCACTTTGTAGACCAGCCTGGCCTCGAATTCACAGAGATCCACCTGCCTCTGCCTCCTGAGTGCTGGGATTAAAGACGTGCGCCACCACCGCCCGATGACAACCTAATTTTTAAAAGGTCAAAGAGTATAAACAGACACTTCCCCAAAGAGATAAACAAATGGCCAGCAGAGGCATAAAAAGATGCCCACACCACCAGTCATCAGAAAACCCACAGAAAGAAGCTGCTTCACACCCACTGTTCTGGTGCTACCCAGGGCAATCAGGGTCTGGAGAGATGGCTCAGAGGTTAAGAGCAGCCCCAGAGGTCATAGCTCAATTCCCAGCAACCACATGGTGGCTCACAACCATCTATAATGAAATCTGGCGCCCTCTTCTGGCCTTCAGGTATACATGCAGGCAGAACACTGTATACATAATAAATAAATAAATCTTAAAAGAAAAAAAAGAGAGAGAGAGACCAGGAAACATTATCAAGGGTCTGAGCTGCCGAGGAAGGAGTCTCAGGGTTCCCAAAATAGTAAAAACACAGAACTACCACGACCCAGGAATCCTGCTCCAAGGTGAGTATTCAAAATCCGAATGGCACGCATACACTGGAGCATTATGAGACACACTGTAATATGTGCACTGTGTTTATGCATCAGTCTAAATGCTGTTAAGAGCCTCGAGATTCTTAAATGAATAAACAGCCTCTTGTACATAAGTGCTTCATAGCAGCAGTATTCACAATACCTAAGAGGTGAGACCAACCCAGACACCTGTGAAATCATAACAGAATGCGTGGTATCTGTACGCTGGAACCCACGTACAGGTTCTCCTTTCAGAGTGATAAAAAAATATTGTGAAACTAGATAGAGATGATAGGTTCACAGCACTGGGGAAACTACTTCAGGTTTTTAAATATATTCAAAGAGATCTGGCCTTGGCTTGTTTTTGTTTTTGTTTTTCTGTAAGTTATCATGCCGGTTAGTTTTATACACATACCTAAAAATAAAAAAAAAAATTTTAAAAAGACAGAACCTTGAGAAAACTCCCCCACCAGACTGGCCTGTGGCATATTTTCCTGACTGATGATGGGGGTTGGGGGGCAGCTCGCTGTGGGGTGTGTGATTCCTAGGTGCTATATGAGGAAGCAGGCTGGGAAGCCATGGGGAGCGAGCCCTCTCACTAACAGTCTCTGGATCAGCTCCTGCCTTGAGTCCCTATCCTGATTTCTCTGTGATGGAGTGTGTGTGACCTTTGACCCGAGAGTCTTAGATGAAATCAGCCCTCTCCTTCTCAGTGGCTTTTGGTCACGGGTGCTCGGTGCAGCGACAGAGATAGCCATCCTCTCAAAGGACTGAGAGTCTATCCACAACAGACTGTTTCTTACCAGCAGACTCCTTCCCGTCCTGTGTTTCATAAAGGGTGCCCACAGACATCAGGAAAACAATAACCAGGAACACTGGAATTCTCCATGAGCCAGCCAGGGACGCTGAAAATTATTAAGGATTAACATTTTTAGTTAACAGAGCAATTTGATATGCATGCTAACTAAGAAGTTATTTCATAGGGGGAAAATGTTTTTAAAAGCCCCTTGCAGGGAAACTCCAACTCCAGGACAGTTTCATTCTTGCTCTCAAAGGAACAAGGCAAGTGCCAGCCTACCCTTAAGAGGGCACTCCCCTGTCCATTACAAGCACCCACACACATACCCCAAACTCAAGTTCAACCTATGCAGCACCTGATACCAGGACCAACAGAGTCAGGCCCCAGAAGCCAGCCTAACTTTCTGAAAGTGGCACTAGGTTTGAACTCGGTCTCAAAAAGGAACCCAACAAAGTCAAAGGCCAACGCTCCCACAGTACACAGTTAAGTCCCCGAGCATCTGGCTTCCCTGAGTTCACACGAGACTCCCTCCTCTGCCTTCTGCAGACTCAACCTGAGTTGCTCCAGGGACCCCACAGATAGACCTCATGGCCACAACTCAGCAAACCTACAGAGTACTGTCCTCTGAAAGTCAGACCCTGAGCCGAGACAGCGTCAGTCAGCTGGACTTCACCGCTGCTTTCTTGGTGGGGAGGGGGCGGGTAACTTACAAAAAGGGGTTAATTCTAAAAGCTACTTTCAGCTACCTGCTGCTGCTCTAGGTTGCCCAATTATTTTGTGTTTAAATCAGAACGTATTATCCCCATCAACTCAGACACGTCTTGCTCAATCCTGTGCATCGTGCTACAAAGCCATTCAAGAGCATTACGCAGCAGGATCACCACCATCACCATCACCACCATCACCATCACCACCCCCGCACCCCCCACACCCCGCTAACAGGGAGCTGCTTCACAGAACAGGAAACTCATGACTCTGAGCTGCCCTGACATCGAGCATCTCTGCTGAGCACTGAACTGTCTTTCTGATGCCTCCACGTGTTCTGGCATCTCTCCCTCAGGACCACAGATGTGCTCAAGCCCCTCTTCCACAGGATGGAAGTGGTTTTCATATTTCATGTACTCCTCTTGCCCAATGTCCTCCCCCATTCCTGTCCCAGGCCCTTCCTCTTAGCCAGAGAGAAAAACTTTCTCTAGTTCTTCCACAAGACCCAAGCGCCTCTTATCCTTAGGCGTTTATCTCTCTCCTCCCCAAGTCTGCTACAAGCAAAATGAGCCAGAGGGCCACACAGCTGCGGTTTGAAGCCCTTACTCTCCAAGGACTTTCCAAGGGAATGAGTAAGGAACTTAAAAACAGATTGGTGAAATCTCAAACTTCAACATTTTCAATACATTATGTTGAAGAACTTTAAGTGCAACTCGCTTTCATTGGTGAAAACCACAGTTATTGGGCGACTGTTCTACGAAGAAGAAGAAAAGGACCCACCTATGTGAAAAAGCAGTATCATCCAGACAGGAATCGAAACCGCTCTCAAGTAGCGTTCAGTGTTTGCATTCCACTTGAATGAAACCATCAGCACATAGCCAAGTACCAACGTCCAGATCTTAAACAAATGAAACAAGACACGGTTGTAAAATCCATACAGCAAAGAGCACGTGCTCCACGACATCTACAGTATCTGTACAGCGCAAGCACTCTGGACAGGGCACACATAGGCACTATGGGCGGCGTGCCTGGGTCTCCCCCTCTCTGCACACGTTTAAACAGGCATTTGAAACCCAGGCAGTGATACCTAATAAATACATCATTTAAGACATACTCTGGGTACAAGAGATGGCTCAGCGGTTAAGAGCACTGGCTGTTCTTGCAGGGGACCCGGAATTTCAGTTCCAGGGGATCTGACACCATCACACCACGCACATAAAATAAATTTAAACAAATTATTTTTTGAAAAAAGGCATACTAAGGTTCAGAATCCACTAAACATTTTTTTTAAAGATAGTATGTAAGTAGCAGTATCTTTAAATTAAAGCTGATCTTATGGAATTCCTACAGGATTTTGTTGATTAATGTGGGGGGGGAATAAAATTAATGTGGGAGGAGACTAAAAAGAAACAGATAAAAAAGATCCCATATTTTAACCTATAAAATGTTAGTATGAGAATCATTTTTAAAACTAAAAGAGCTAGCTGATCCTGTTGATAATCTATATACTCCAGTTAAAAAGGTGTCTGAAAAAAAATATTACAAGAAAAAATAGCAAACTTGACAGCAGAACTAGTCAGGGTCCCCTCCTCCATTTCTCTACTCTACAGCTAAATGACCATCACTAAATTAGCATCACAAGCTGCCAATGTCCAAGAAAACACTTGCAAAGTTTGTGAATGTAAAACTCAATTATGGCTTGACTCTGGGGAGTAAAGTTAAAACAAAAAAGGACGTAGTGATCCAATTAAGACCACAAAGAAAAACAAAACGTAGTGATCCAATTAAGAGCACAAAGAAAAAAAAATCAAAAACAGAATTAGCACAGAAGACGGGAAAGGATTGGTCAGACCCTCCGTGTTATTTCCGTACCAGCTATCAATAAAAGTAATCCAATTTTTAAACCATGCACAGCCTTGAACTTGAGGTTCTATATCTGGAACTAACCCTTACAAAGTAACGACAGATTCTTGAAAAGGCTTTGGCATAAAGAAACCCCTCGGAATTGGCGAGGGAAAGTGATGACCTAAAAGGCTGATGGAGACAAGATTAACTATGGGTGATTCACAAATGCAGGGCTATTCCAGCTTCAGATTGGGAATGGAGGGTTTGTGGGTGTGGTGTACAGACACGGGCACCTGTGGGGGCCAGGTATCTGTCCTGCACAGCAGGGTCTCCCGGTGACGCTCACAGGAGGCTGGACAATCTGTGTCTTAGTGCTGGAGTTACGGGAATGCACTGCCACGCCCTTCTTTCTACGTGGGGACCCTGCTGGGGACCCCGACTCAGGCCCCTCAGGCTGGCACACTTTAACTGAGCCATTCCCCAGATTTACACTGAGCACCGCTTTCAAACAATCATCACGCGGTCTTTACATTCCTTAAGTTAAAAATGAGATAGAGAGACGCACATATAATAATCTACAACTTGGTGAGGAAAGCAGGAACGGGCTCGTAAGATAATGGTTATCAGACGGAAAATGTCTTCCCATTCCCATGCTGTTCTTGTTTTCCAACACGCAGAGTCTCACGTAGCCTGGAACTTGCTAGGAAGTGGAGGGCGGCCTTGAACTCCTGATCCTCCCGCCTATACCTGCCCAATGGTGAAATTTCGGGGGACAGGGAGGGTTGTTGCTTGCCATGCTGGGATTTGAAATGAGGGCCCCACGCATTTTAGATGAGCGTTCCGCTAGGGAAATGACTTGTCTACGGTCTGAAGTTGAATTAGAATTTTGACACCGAAGTCTTTCTGTTTTCTTTATACTTGCTATTTGTGTGTGTGTGTGTGTGTGTGTGTGTGTGTGTGTGTGTTTATGTGCGTGCACACACATGCATACCTGTACAGATTTTGTGGACCACATGTGTGCAGGAGCCCTTGGGGGTCGGAAGAGGGTCTCGGATTCCCTGAAGCTGGAGGTACAGGTGTCTGTGAGCTAAGTACTGGGATCCAACCCTGGGTCCTCAAGAAGACCAGTGAGCATTCCCAACTCCTGAGCCACCTCTCCAGCCCAAAGTCTGCGTTTCCTTTTTTTTTTTTTTAAGTTTTATTTTTTATTTTGTGTATATGGGTATTTGGCCTCCATGCATGTCTATGCACCACGTGCATGCCTGGTACCCTCAGAGGCCAGAAGATGCTGGATCACAGCCAACTGTTGTGAGCTGCCATGTGGGGTGGTCAAACCCAAGTTCTCAGGAAGCGCAGTCAACACTCCTAACCGCTGAGCCACACCATGGCTCAGTGCTGGAAAATGAAAGCAGAGTCTGCTCCAGTTCTCCAAAGGGGACAGAGACCCTTAGGAAAGGGAGGGTGGTCAGCCCTACTGCACACAATGGTGATCAGTTCCCAGAGGAGTTAGTGAGTTGCTCAACAGCAAGCCTAGGACCAGCTTGTGGCTGTGGTTCATAAATGAATGTGAGAGTTGTGAAAAGCTGTCAACAGCACAGCTTCTGAACATGCAAACCACGAAAGCTTAATCCAAAATCTGATGCATACAAGTCTTCGAGGTCCCTGAAGGGAAGTCACGTGATCTCCCCACAGCCTTGGTTCTAGCCCCAAGTGTGCACTCTCCCTTCACTCACCGCTCTTACGCAAAGCTGCCTCTAACTCTGGAAAACGAACGACTCCCACAGCCCATAGGTACCAATTATATCTGCGGGGTGCACTGTTATTTGAGTTGCTGACTAATTCCTAAAACAAATTAAATAAATTCAGGTGATTTTTGGCTTGAGCCTGTGACAGACTTTCCAGCAGTTTTTCAAGTGTGGCCCGGAAAACTAGCCTTGACATTTGCACTGTGTACTTACGCAAAGTGACATTCTCAACACAGGTTATAAAGTAGAAATATCAATCAACTCTTAAAAACACTGAAGTTGCTGTGCCTGCAGGTTAAACTGTAGTGGTCAGTCCCCCATTTGAGCAGCCATGACAGGCTAACATGTGCTTGTATGACCTTGCTGCTCCTGTCCTGGTCACTAAGGTCAGATGCCCTCCTCGTGGCAAGGAGCCAATCAGAAGTTAGCTGGCAGGGCTGTGCTTTACAGCTCTGGGTGCGCTTTACAGATAGTGCACAACAGTGATGTTCAGAGCATAGCAACCGCCCTGGGAGGGCCTATGGGCCATAACAACCAGTTGACCAATCAACACAGGGAAGGTCACCCAAACCTGGAAGCGCACCAATCCTGAGACTGTTTCATACCCCTAAACACTCCCCTTACGCTGCCCTTTAAGATCCCTGCCTCAAGGTTGCTTGGGGTCTTTCTCTAGCCATTTGCCATGGTGGCAGGGTGAAGGGCCCGAGTTAATGGGGTTAGCTCGTTAAACATCTATAATAAAAGACTCTTTGCTTTTGTATCGAAATGGGCCTCTTGGTGATTTTGGGGTTCAGAATTTGGGCACAACGAAACATTTGGCCAAGATTTAAATTTCTGTGTAAAAAGTAAAATAAGCACATGCATCTCACTAGTATAAAAGCTTGCTTTTATCTTTAATAAATTACTAAGGTTATAAGTACACCAAAGAATTCTTAAGTTATGATTATGGGGCCAGAGAGATGGCTCAGTGGTTAAGAGCACTGGCTGCTCTTCCAGAGACCTTGGTTCAATTCCCAGCACCCACATAGCAGCTCAAAACCATCTGTAACTCCAGTACTAGGGGATCTGATGCCGTCTTCTGCCTACACACATGTGGTACTCAGACATATATACAGGGAAAACATCCATACTTATGAAATAAAAACAAGTTTTAAAACTTTTAAATATACTTATGATTTATTAACAGTAAATATTTGATTATAAACCTATTTTATATAGCTACAAGAGCTAACTAAGGTCACATAAAATTTTCTCAGGATAAAAGGGCTCATGAGTGAAAAAAGTTTACAAAGCTCTGGGAAGGTACTAATTAAACCCACATCTTACACAAACGTGGGAATTGCAAGAACAGAGACCTGCCAACCTACAGACCTAAGGGAACCCACAGCTACAACATGCTAATTCAAGGAAGATTACATTTAATGAAGAGAAATGCAGAGCTGTGCTTTCAGAATCAAGATCCCAAATGTACCAAACAGAGACTGGGGAGAGAGAGCACCTAAATTCAGTAGCTACTGTGTAAATGTCTGCTTCTAAAAATGCAAGTCAGCACCAACACACTACGTGAGCAATAAAACACAGGCTAAGAAAGCAAAAGAAAAATGTAGTAAGATATAGATGGCAGTTAGACGGGTGGTCTCTCCGGCTTACCAAGTAGAGAATACCAACATTTGATAGCTATTCTTAGACAATGGGTGTCTTAGTTGAGGTTTCCATCACTGTTATAAAACACGATTACTAAAAGCCACTTGGGGGTGAAGGGTTTATTTGGCTTACACTTCCACATCACAGTTCATCACTACAAGAAGTCGGGGCACTGCCGGGCGGTGGTGATACACACCTTTAATCCCAGCACTCGGGAGGCAGAGGCAGGTGGATCTCTGTGAGTTCGAGGCCAGCCTGGTATAAAAAGCGAGTTCCAGGACAGCCTCCAAAGCCACAGGGAAACCCTGAGAAGAAGGAGGAGGAGGAGGAGGAGGAGGAGGAGGAGGAGGAAGAGGAGGAAGAGGAGGAAGAGGAGGAAGAGGAGGAGGAGGAGGAGGAGGAGGAGAAGAAGGAGAAGAAGAAGGAGGAGGAGGAGGAGGAGAAGAAGAAGGAGGAGGAGGAGAAGGAGGAGGAGGAGGAGAAGGAGAAGGAGAAGAAGAAGGAGAAGAAGAGAAGAGGAGGAGGAGGAAGAGGAAGAGGAAGAAGGAGGAGGAGAAGGAGAAGGAAAAGAAGAAGGAGGAGGAGGAGGAGAAGAAGGGGAAGAGGAGGAGGAGGAGGAAGAGGAAGAAGGAGGAGGAGGAGGAGAAGGAGAAGAAGGAGGAGG